AATGCGATCATATTGATATAACATCTTCCCTTGCAGAGAACTAACCAACTTTGTCAGGAAGGATGACTTTTTAAGATTTTTCGCATTTTAGTTTCAGTTTATGGGTTCTGGGTTAATTATTTATTGCCTGATTTGTGTAAAAGAAAAGCACATCTTCTCCATGGTGCAAATTCTCAACTTTCTTCTACCGATAAAATTTTCTGTCGCCACCAGAAGTTACGCAATATTGCTCAGAACTTTGATTTTAACGTGTTTAAAGGTCTTTTAAAACACAAATATTAATGTTTACAAATCTAATAGATCTAGATGAATGCTCCTACTAAAGAGTTAAGATTTTCATTATCATTTGGGCAAAAACTGTATTTTTAGCCTTCAAAATAGATATTTTATTCAAACGAGTCTGATATGTAACGTTTTATAAAATGATGATATTTGATTCCAATCAACAAATAGAATGAACCCATACGATCATACAGACACCTCAAAATGGTTTCTAACTTGCATTGGCCGAGAAAGTTCATCCAGATTTTCCGGCGTGGTTCCCCCTTGTCAGTGATGCAGGACGGCGGGCCTGACAAGGACAGCTGTCTATTCCTTCGGATGATATGAAAAACCAAGGTCCAGTGTATACATTGGAATGCATGTAAAAGAGCCCTTGGCAGTTGGAATTCGATATAAGAGTAGGCGATAGTGCCGCTCCCTGGGCAAAATTTCCCTCATAGCACACTGTATGGCGTATGCCCGTCTTCATTAGCCCAGCATAGGAGCAGAACAGTAGGATGTTAAACCCTATTTCATTTCATGTTCATTTCATTTCTAACTTGTACAGTTTCAGAGAAATAGACGATTTTCTACATGTCACTTTTCATGGTTCTTGGTCCATAAATGTGGCCATTATTATTCATTTGTCATGCATTTTCACCATGTGATGCCTTATGTCATTTATGATTTCATGGAACTAATGCAACATTTTCTTCACCGGAAATAATGTCATTTTGGCAAAAACTGTATTTTTAGCCTTCAAAACAAACATTTTTTTTTAAAGTGAGTTATTATATTATTCGCTTAAAGAAAGGGCCAATAACACTCTTGCTGGCTTGAAAGCTCCAGTAAATAAATATTAGCCTTTTTCTAAGTATTAGATGTTTAAGTGTCCTACCTGTTGTGTAAATTACCCATAACATCCTATTTTACTTGTCCAGAGGGTTGAAAATATTTTTAAATCTAAGTCACATTTGAAAAGGTTTACATTCGGCTTTTCAAATCATTTAGTTGAATTTTTCCATTTTTTTAAATTAGGTGTGGTAAGATGAAATTTGTATCATCAATTAATTGGAATACTGTAAAATAGTACAATTTGTTGACCAGAATAAAAATTGGGACATATTATTCTGTTACAACAAGAGTGGTATTGAGCCTTTAAAGGAGCTAAGTCGCTAATATTTGGGATCTAGAAAATGACACAAATGGGTTGCAACACATATAATAATGTAATATGAATGTATATAAACTGATTTACATTCAATCGTTTCTGTTTTACTGTAATTTCTAATCAGTTATATTCAGCCAAATACGCCAAAAGTCTTGATCGAATGGCAATCTCTACACCGATAGTATTAATTGTGCATGCTCTCCAGATAAGCTAATGACGTCACCATTTGACATGACTTGTGGAATATGCCTAGCTTCGTTTTTCGAGTCCCTTGTTACAAATGACGCTGAAAAGCATTATGGTACACGATTCGTGTACCAATGGTAAAATGTTTATTTTGTCTTGAATATTGGATATCAGAATCCCATATTTTCCCGGTAAGATCACAACATCAATGTTGATTTAAATTGACAAATAATTCGTGTTTTCAATGTTGAAGAATTTGGATGATACTGAGTTAGAGACTTAGCTACTTTAACAATATGATATTTGACTCTAATAGACATATAGATTGGATCAATACGATCATATAAATGTACAAAAATTGCTTCTAGCATCTTCTCTTCGCTTGTCGAGAAATAACCAATTTTGTCAGGAACAATTTGTAAAATGTTTTTCGCATTTTAATTTCCCATTAGAAAATCAGCTTACTTGTAAGTTAGTAGGGGTTTCATGTCAAAGTTTCATTTGAGAGAAAAAAAATTTGTGAAAATATACATAAAATGCTACCCCAATTTTTTTATTTCATCAAAATATTCTAATTAGATTTAGATCCAAAGTTATGGAATTTTAAAATCCGAGATCGACGTCAATAATGTAATCAAAATGCTCTATACCAGTCAATGTGTGGCATAGCACCAAAATAAGTGTTTTTCAGTCATATTTGAGCGACGTCATAAGCGGTATTTTCCCTTCAGAATCGTTAGTTACCAATTTTAAAACTGAAATCCGCACGTTATTGTCAGCTAAGATTTATTAAAATCGTAATAATTTGAATGATAATATGTCAAATATTTATAAACTGGATGATGCCACAAGAAAGTATTTTATATTTAGTCGAAATTTAGCAAATTTCAGTCATCAAAACAGATAAATCCTGTTTTCTACGGCTGTAATTGTCCAATCTCGAGGTATCAAAGACCATAATAAGCACAAAAATGTTATCTATCGTTTGATTTGGTTCTATATCAAATTCCACCGGAAACTAAGGTGCGGATTCACCAATGAAGTGAGTCGTAGCAATGGAAAATCTCCGGCCGCGTGACGTCAGAGCAGTATTTTCCCGCAAGCGTCTCATGTAAACAAACGGTAATTTCACTTATATTTCTATAATTTTTCAGCCTGAATCTTTGCAGATATTGAGATTAATATTAAACATGCATTATGCAAGAGCTAAATCTGATTATTGCAAGTCTTAATTTAGGCTTCAGATGTTATAGAAATTATAAATTAGATCTTTATTTAAACAACAAGACCAAAATCAACTCTGTAGACCCACGGATGGCTCGGTTACAGCTCGGATTTAAATAGGATTTCACTAATTGATTAAATCAGATAAGGGGTAACCTGATGAAAATACGTCAGTTAGATCGAGGCTAAATGATAGAGTGTACTTAGCGAGGCCGCTGTAAAGCGTTTCCGTATGCCATTGAAAACTTTACTTGATAATCGAGTTATGTAGGTGGAGTTAACGCCTGTCAATCAAACGTTTGGCGACGGCGAAGACACATTTTGCTACCATTTCTAGGCAAATATTACAACGATGATAACTATGTTCAGAATAAAGTAATTTGACTGAATTGTTCAATATATTCTTCTTTCATCATCTACTTTTGAACTGTTATAGCAAGGATGGCCAACTCTCTATAAATATCTCCCATAATGTATCTTTAAGCTATTACAATACAATTGCTAGTAATACATTTACATAAAATCTTAATTCAGAATCGTAGATTGAAGTGGGCTATATTTCAGCCGCTGGCTGTCTGATTTCACGCCAAGTCACGTGACCTGAATGAAACCCTTGAACTCACGTCAATTCCAGTTTCTTGTTGCCCTTGAACTTATGTCACTTCCAAATGAAACCGTTAAAAAGATTTCCACATAAGTATTGCACATATGTTATAAAATGGACGCAGAATCGAACAAATCCAGCCATATAAATTCCATTTACCGCTTATGACGTCACTCAAATATGACTGAAAAGCACTTATTTATCGTAGATTGAAATGGGCTATATTTCAGCCGCTGGCTGTCTGATTTCACGCTAAGTCACGTGATCTGAATGAAACCCCTAAAGTTAGTTACAAATTGTGTCAGGATCACTTTTTTGACATTTGTAACTTTTTCGATGGTTTTAAGTAATTTAATATTAAAGATACATTATGGGAGATAAGATAAAGAGATGGCAGTTCTCGCTATAATAGTTAAAAACTAGATAGTGTAAAGGTAATTTGCTGAAAATTTCAGTCAAATTGATCCACATGAGCCAAGAAAGAAGCGGGTGAAATTTTTTGCATAGTCTCGGTCATCATTACTAAAATCATTAATATAAACAGCATAGTCTCGATTATCCACTTTTTCTGATTTAATTATCAACGGCCGTTAGCGGCATATAGGAATCTAATCCAGCCAACATCGAAGGCTAGCCTTGACATCGAGAGTTTATTATGGTCTGGATAAGTTAATTAATGTCTAATTGATAATTTAGATAACATTTCAGGCCTAAAGAAAGACTTGTAATGAGCAGATTTTGCTCTTGCATAATGCATGTTTAATACAAAATAGACTAAATAGGAAGATCTTGCAGGCGAATTCTGATATCATCAAAGTGAATTCCAGTTATTTGTAAGTGAATTCCTACTGGTGTTTGAATTCCGGTGATTAGTCTACCCCGTTTTAGTTATGGTCCGATACATGCCAATATCGAAAGGAAGCGAGATCATTGGGAGATCAAGTTTTGTCAAAATCGGATAAAAATTGTGACCTGTAGAGTGTCCACAAACAAATTGTGGGGGACAAAAGAGACGCCATAATGCGTCCACATGAATATGTGGGCGTATAAAAATCAATCAACCACTTTTTCAACTTTTGACAATGGTAGACATACAAAGAAACAAACCCACGATAAAAAAAGAGTTAACATCTGATGTATAAATTTAAAAAAAAAAACATAAAGTAAATAAAAAAAACAACATTTTGTTACTAAGCCTACTTACATTTGGACTGGTTCGTCTTGATATAATGTTTACAAATTGTAAGCTTGAAAACCTATGTTCTAAATGCCATGACAGTGGGTGAACACGAAAATATGACAGGCATCATAGTCACCAGTGCAGAATGACCATCGGATAGAGTTATATATAGAAAATATAGCTCTATGAGAATGACTGAGAGCTGTCAGCCTTCACCTTGGAAATATCAAGGGAAATAATTTGAACAACTGGAGGCCGGAGTGGATATTCGCCGCGAATAGCCTAGAGCCATGAGGATGGTTATTCGCCATTCGTTTTATATAATAAACCTAACATTCTTGAAGATTGTTTGTGCTTTTAATCAAAATACAGACCCAGAATCCCTTTTTAATTGTCATTTGTTATTTGAAGCTTCATAGTGCATAATATGAACACCTTCGTTCACAGCGAAACCGACATCGTGTGTAGATGGAAGTAGCACACATGTGAAAAGTTCCGTATTCTGTGAAATTTTGTATCTTTACTAATACATTGAAAACGCATTTCTTTGCACTTTTGTTTATCACAAAGTAGATAAAATACAAACTTAATCTAATTTCATTCCTAAGAAAGCAGCAGAGGCTTATTGAAATTGTTCTACCTGATCTACCTGCCCGCCCACCTACCACCCGGAGCAGGCTACCCATATTATTTCATTGCCAACCGCATGTTCTATCTATATACTATTCGTATATTTCATTTCCTACCAATACATTTCATTTCCAACTGCTTGTTATATTTGCCACCCGTATATTTCTATTTGTACCTTCCATTTCAAACTAGAGAGAGAGAGAGACCTCAATGACAGACCTTATGATACAGCATGCACGTGCTAACCGTTGCATTGCCCCCCCCCCCCCTGCTATTTCTTTATTGGCATCCTATATTCATTTGCTATTCATAGCCTACATTTCTTTCTCAGCCGTGTGTTTTATTGTCAAACATATAATTCATTTACATCTACTCACATAGGCGTACTATAGCCAGGGATGAGATCGTAATTTCTTACAATTGACTAAGGGATTAAAATTCGGCATAAAATTTAGAAAATTTAAAGTCAGTTTAATACACAGTGATATTTTTTCTGGAATCATGAATTTTTGTTTAAGCGACCGGCTTCGCATGTCGCGTCTCTGTGTACTCTAAACGATATATTTTTTAGGCATGATCAGCTATTTCCCCTTGTCAATGGTGCAGGTCGGAGGGCCTGACAAGGACAGCTGTGCAGTCGCTCGGATGGGACGAAAAACCGAGGACCCGTGTATACATTGGCGTATCCGGGCAACATTTCCCTCGTATGAAACTGGAATGAGAGAGAGAGAGGGTCATTCCGGGACTAACACATGGGGTTCCATTTATTTATTTGAATAATTCCCTTGCGCGTTGGACAGGCGACCCTACTCCTTGTCACATACAACAGGTGAATCGAAACCACGCTGAAACTGACTGAAATTAGAACATTACAAACTGTTTAAGTTTGACTTGTAACAAATAGCAACTTTTATTCTACTTTGTCTTGGCTTTTTCTTCCTCAGAAAATTCTTTCGGGGTCGCTTGTGCGTAGGGGTCTTTAATCGTGGGAGGAAACCAGAGGACACCGAGATAACCATGCCGAACAATACATATGAACATTCTCATCCAACACTGTGTATGATCATCAGACTAATTCGCCATCCGGATGACAAAGATTATTTCGCCATCTGTTTTCGTTATCTGACGCCCTTTTATTAAATCGATATTCTCTGTCCTTGTATCATTTTGCAAAATAGAGTAGATCATTAAGTGCTGAACCAACAAAGGCCCACACCCTTTCACATGTTAAGAAATGCAATGGGGTTTAACGACATCGATTTTTCGTCTCAGCCGAACGGCTATACGTCGTCCTTTGGATTCACGCTGGAAACTCCAAATGAACTTTTTCGGCCGGAATCACCAGTCAACGTCTTACTGACTGAGCCACCGTGTCCCACTTTAGCGTGACCCAAATATGTCTTGTGGTGTGATTAACGCGTGCGCCTCGGATCTGAAGGTGTTATATAGTCAAGTAGTGTGGTTTTTGATTCTGCGCTTGTACGTGAACGTAACAAGGAGTAAGGCCGTCTGTCCAATCTCGTGGGTTTTCTACGGGTCCTCCCACTGCGAAAGAGCTCTGTGCGCAAGTGAATTATTAAAATAAAATTGAGCCATATGTTAGTCCAGAAATTACCAAGGTTGTTTCGAATGGGCGTATGGCGAACCGGCTCTCTCTCTCTCTATCTCTTTCTCCATCCATGTGTGTCCCATCAGGTTATACAGTGAATATCAACATAAAATAAAACATACCAAAGACAGACAATTATTATCTTATTGTACATATCTTTCGTCTTTTTGTGCCATTCGTTTTTATATTTCATATTTAGCATCAGGATTTTATTTTATTTTCATTTTTTTTTATCTACCCGAACCTTTTATTGTCAACCACTGTTTATTTAAAATCCATATATTTGAATAAAACTATTTTGTCTTATAAATTTAAACCTTTCAAAGACAGGTCATAAAGTATGGTACTTTTTCGGGTAGTCACCACTAGGCTATAAATAGACCTCCAATGGCACTGTGTATTTCGTATTATGTATTAAAAACTTGTAAATATATTCCAAATGAATATCATTTTTGTTATGCTCTTCTAAAAAAATAATATCGTCAGATATAAGACATTTGGTCGGCGGTAATTACGCCATGGTCGGCGGTAGTTTCATTACGGTCGGCGGTAAAAAGTAGTTGGTCGGCGGTAATTATGTGGCAGTCGCCGGTAAAAAGTATTGGTCGGCGGTAAAAAGTACCACCCCCGCCGGGCCCTTAAATAATTACATTGGACTCAACCCGGTTGCAGCTGGGCCCTGTTTGCGGTTGCTAGACCTTGTGCTGTGTCTCCACTGGAGCGGTTTTGTTGCAGGTATTACCCGTGGGAGCTGTGGGTGTTGAGGTGTTGGTGCTAGGCATCGATTGCCTAGGTACAGGTGTGAGACGTTCCGGAAATACGAGTATACATGGATTAGCAGAGTTCCTGTTAACTTTGCGACTAAAAAGGCTACTTTATTTCTGTACATAGTCGCGTGCCTATTTCACTGTGTTGTATTATTGTATATTTCTCTTTTTATTTATTGTAATAAAGTGCATGATCTTTAAAACTTTGTGATTGATCGAAACAAGGTATAACGAGCTGGGGTTAACTTCGAGTCAAGACATTGATTTGGGTCCAAGCGAGGGTATCGGTAACTGAATAGTTACTTTTTAGCTGACACTTGCTTCGATATTCTGTAGAGACGTCGTGGCCCGAGGCGAGGCTTAAGAAAAACCAGTCCACAATAACCAATAGTCCCCACTGTCCTATTTTGGAAGTAGAGTACGTGGCCATTGGTTGTCACATATCCGGTTTTTCTTTGGTGGCAGAGGTGGGATAGTTAAATCATCCATTCTACATAAACCCTTATAGCCCCTCTTGTTTCGATCTATTCACTTGTTCAGCTAGTTCATACATTTTCTTACATTTGTGACATTGTGGTGCAAAACCTTTGGTGTTGACATGACTACCCACTCTTTACTTGATATGGACTTGACCTGTTTGGATAACGTTCTAAAAGATGCGTCCACGGTTTCTCCGGATTCTGGTATTCTGGTATTCCAAACGTGGACACGACACACACAAACTGTGACAGTGAAGTGAATAGTGAATGTGCCTCACGCGGCGACCCTAGTAAAGGGCCAAGGAATGTAGCAGACCCTGAAGTTCATAGTGATTTTAAAGAATTCCAGAAAGTGATTGTGGAACAGTTCTCGTTGTTAAACGCAGTACTTAATTAAATGATAATAGACGTGCCCTCGAGCAGATTGCAGATGTGGCGTCCAGGAGTGCCGCATCTATGGAACAAACTGAACCAAAGTTAAGTGGCATAGTTAATAGTGGTGATTCTGATTTGCAACAAGAAATCAGAGTGAGATCCTGATCTGTGCTTGACAGTGAGTCCGACAACACACGATGTGGCCCTAGGGAGGATCGTAAAATGGTGACATTTGATAGAAAGTTTGAACCTATCGGCACGTCAACGCCTTCTACAAAATCAATGGCCTCGTTTCGGAGACTGATTCGAATCCCTCAAGATTACGTTGGTTCAACTTCATTCATGGATTACAAATCTCATTTTGGGATATGTGCAGAATTGAATGGATGGAATAGTGAGGAGATGACCCTCCATTTAGCCAGTAGTCTCAAAGGTAGTGCTCGAAAAGTGTTAACGTCTGTGAATTTAAGTGAAAGGTGGAATTACCAAAAGCTAATTACGGCCCTAGAAGACCGGTTTCTACCCCAAAATCAAACCCAACTCTATCGTGCCGAATTAAAGGCCAGAAGGGAAAGTTTGCCTGAATTAGGGGAAAGCATTAAACGACAAGTGGCAATGTCTTATCCTACAGCATCTGGGGAATTACTTAGTATATTGGCTAAGGATGCATTTTGTGACGCACTCGCAGAAGATCGTGACATGTTGTGGCAAATTCAGCTTTGGAGACCTAGGAATTTGGAAGATGCAGTTAGGCTAGCAGTGGAGCTTGAAGCTCACCGTGCCGCTGGTGGGTCTAGTAATAATCAATTTCGTAGTGTACGTGGCTGCGAGTGAGTCATTTGAACTCAAAAAGTTAAGTAAAGAGTTGAGTGAAATTAAAGATCTTATGAAATCGAATCAACATATATCGACGCCACCAACATCTAATGAACCGCGTAATAAAACTTTTCGTCGGACATATAACGGGGGACAAAATGCACGAACTGCTCATAAACCTCAACGACCTCTCTCACAGAAAAGAGATCCACAACCCAATCCTCGAGGTGGGCCCGGTTCTAAGCCTGATACCAGGTCTTTCGGAACCCCAAATGAGACCGGTCTTCACGTGAAAGCTCATGTATGTACCGTGGCTGTGAATGGGTTGATAGATACCGGGGCAACAATAAGTATTCTGTCTCGAGAAACATATTTTGAAATGAAATGAAATGGGGTTTAACGTCCTACTGTTCTGCTCCTAACCTGGGCTAATGAAGACGGGCATACGCCATACAGTGTGCTATGAGGGAAATTTTGCCCGGACAGCGGCACTATGGCCTACTCTTATATCGAATTCCAACTGCCAAGGGATCTTTTACGTGCATGCCAATGTGTACATGGGACCTCGGTTTTTCGTCCCATCCGAACGACTAGACAGCTTTCCTTGTCAGCCCCTCCGTCCTGCATCACTGACAAGGGAGAACCACGCCGGAAAATCTGGATGAACTTTCTCGGCCAATGCAGGGATCGAACACCCGACCTCCAGGCTAGCGAGCTAGCGTCTTACCCACTTAGCCACGTGATCCCCGAAACATATTTTAGAATACCTGTGAGTATACTGTTACGGTCCAGACGATTC